AACACACATGGCAGCAGGCTGTTATGACCTCCCTTGGTTCCCAGAGTTGTCTGGATGAGTCTTTGACTAATCACACCAATTTTACTTCTTGGGTCTGGCCTAATAGTGTTTAACATGAAGATGAAACAATACATTTACCCAAATGTTGCACTCGTTTGCACTGTTATGCAGCTGTCCTGACAGTCAGGAATAGCTGTGGTTTGGGAAGAAATCTGTTATACCAGTACACCACTGTTTTAGATAACTATAGTGATGTAAAAACTCACCTGTTTTGATCAGACCCAGAGAAATGTGTGCTTCATCTCCCTTACCTGAAGGGGCTGTATGGAAAATGAGCTATTCCTTTAGCATAAAGGAATTTCTGCCTTACAGTAAAGCAGCTTGTTTATGCTATCAAAATAGTTTAAAAGGGCTGTTAAACATTGACAAAAGGCAGAAAGTATGAAAAAAAATTTACTGTATTGAAAAATAGAAACTTAAAGGACCTGTGTGGTGGTACCTACTTTATTTCTTTCTTACAACTCTCTAAACATGAGATAGCATGTACTTTTCTACTTTGTGCTTTCTGCAGCGAGCATCCATCGTCTTGAGCTGCATACAGCTAACATTGTTTTCTGTGGATGCTTGCTTTCTTCTTTAAGAATAATTAATCCAAAATTTAATTTAAAAAATCACTTTCCCAAACACAGTATTTCTTCATATTCTCATTTGCTGTATTTAGACTAATTTGTCTTGACATTGCAGCTGTGCTGTTCTTTGTGTTGCACAATCTTTTGAGTTTTGTTTCATTAAGAATGGAACTAAAGAATTTGGGGAAGGGGAGGGAAGAAGTGCTAGACTGTTAGAAGTTAATTTGCCGTAAACCAAAATGTTGAGAACAGATTACGAAAGCTATGAAGTGACATGTAAATGCTTGTTCAGTTTCACACTTGTGAGAAATAAGTCATTAAAGCTGTGTGCACATTGAAATAGATGTTTGGTTACAGCTACTGAGAATAGTTTGTTCTTACTGGTATATTCAGAAGCATAGAGGAAAATGCTTAGAAGATTAGGAACTGATCTCTAGGCTCAAAAAAACTTAAATGTTAAACTATCTCAAAAAAACTAGCTCTACTCTGTTCAGAATAGCTTCATATATTCTATCTATCCTACCTAGTTGCTGTATCTGAACTATACTGCAAGTTAGAAAATGCACTGTACTTTGGGTTTTTTTTCACTTTTTCTAAAAAGTAAAAAGAAAGAAAAAGCTAATTCTGCATGAAGAGGATGCTTAACTTCAGTTTAAGGTTGAACACTGCCTAACTTCCCTGATTCCTCACCCTGATGTATCACAACAGAATTCCTGTTACCCACTATATTCCACTTACTGGTTACTCCTCAGTGTTGTGGTGTGTTTGTTGATAATAAAAGACCCAGCTCTGACTTTAAGTACTTAAATGTTTTGTTTATATGTCTTCCTCTGCAGCTGTGACAGGTAAAACTGAAATCTAAAGGATCAAACCAGAAGGCAAATAGTTTGATTAAACCACTTGAGTTGATTTGAATTATTTTGTGGGCCTGGTTCATGACCTCTAATGCCATGGACAAAACACACTACTTTCTTGGTATCTTCTAATACTTTTTTTATGGAGGATTAGCATGTCCATGCATCACCTCGGAAGACTAATGTGGGCCATGCTACCTGTTCAGACAAACTCCAGATGGGAAGGCCACCCAGGAGGCATCTTGCCCTGAACCAGTGAAGCTCTTAACTAGTTTCTCAGCAGTACAAGTACACAGAAGACTTCAGGTCTGGTAGACAGATGTAGCTGAAGCTGAAAGAAACTAGAAACAAGAAACTAGGTTGATCTGGTTTATGTAACAGGCAGGAAAAACTGGGGACCAGAGTATGGAGGAAGCTGCTTTGATCAAGGAAGTGGGCTGTGCCAGAAGCTCAGTAAGAGCACTGATTTATTTGGGGATTGCTTATACCACGAAAGAGAATAACTTCACTTTGGGATTGTTTTTCCCAGCAAGAGGAGGCTGGGAGGAGCAGTGGGCAAGCCTTTACTCTGAGACTGGAAATGTGTCCCCCCATAGGGTGTGTCTGCCTCTGACAGTGCTTGTTTTCAAGTACTGACTCCCAGCTGTTGCAGATGGCTGGAGGATGGCAGCAACTGAGATGACTCTCTGACATCCATTTAACTGAGATGTTGATAGTTGACTGCTAAGTTTTCTACATATGATAGTTGTGTGATCTTCATAGACTGCCTTAGCTTCAGGTTTTAAATGGATTTGTGGGATAATGTCCCATGGCAAAGTACAGGGGCCTGCTCTGAACAGGCTGTTTCAGAACACTGAGGTCTCACACAAAGATTTCCATGAAATGCTAATTGTCTTCAGAGCAGAGGAGCAGTGTTTCTTCCTATGTGGCCATAAATGCCCTTTTAAGAGATGACTTACATGAAGTGACTGTAGTTCTGCTGCTGGGAGTTGTTCCATCTGCACTTGAATTGCTGAAGACATCACCCAAAAGTGTCCTCAACAGTGTTTATGCATCGTGCGCCAATTTTCTCTTGGTTGAAAATAGGTTACATTAGCCACAGTCTTTGAAAACTCAGTCTTTGTATTCTTTATGCTTTGAAGGAGTTTAGCACAGTTGAGCGGGCTTTCTGAAATTTAATGCTCTGCCGTTTTTTCTGGTTATTTCCCATATCTATATATATGCCTGTGAAAATTCTCTTCTTCAGCCACAGATACAGACATTTCTGAACACCTAGTTTTAGTATTTAAAAAAAAGTTAAAAAAAATCTGTGCCATACTAAAGATAATAGAAAACGCAGTTCAGCAAAGCTTGGTGCACTTGCCTCTTGGAAGAAAGCATTGATTTGTGCATTTAAAGCAGTAGAAAAAAAACTTTCCCTTCTTTCTCTCCCCCAAGACAAACTCTAGGGTGAGTGCCCCTTCATTTCTGTAGTTGTGGTGGTTTGCAGCCGGAGCTTCAGTTTGCATTATTAAACTTTCTGGCAGTGTAAGGTGGTAATCAGTCGTTCCAATGTGGTGTGGACAGATAACTGAGGTGTAAATGGAAACTGCTGATGGAGCTGACTCATGCTCCAAAGGGGAGCAAATTGTTAGCAGGACTGAGTTGGGAGCATGGATCTCTTACATGGATAGCATACATACCATCAGTGTAGGGGTGTGTAAGGCAGGCTGCAGATAAATGACACATTGTAAAACTTCAGTGCTGTCCAAGCCAAGCCTCCTACCTTTCCAGACTCTGCTGCCCTGTGATGACTGGGTTTTGTTGCCATGCAACATGGTAAGAGGGGCTGAAACTTTGTGTGCCTGGCACAGATTAGTTCAACAGCAAACTAAATGCTTGTCTGAGGCTCTGTATAAGAGGTTTAGAGATCCCTGCCATGAGGAAAGAAACAAATGTAAGGCAGCTTGCTCTCAGATTATTTTTTATAATTAGCTCTGTTATGCAGTTATGACAGAATCTAGTTGTATGAATCAACAGTAGAAAAGGCAAGGAGTCAGGAGGTCTGTTAATCTTCTATCATCTGCCAGCTGTCCAGTGAAAACACTCTTTTGTGTGGTGTTAGGAGGTCTGGATTAGTCATTTAACACCTGCAGGCAAAAATGTTGTACAAGAACATGTGAAAATCATTAGAGCAAAACTGTCCTGACGTCTGTGATTGGAAAATGCAGACAGCATAAGAATGGAATTAGATGGATTCAGCTGTAGCTTGCATGTCTTTTTAAGAATGCAGCTGACACAACTGAGACCAACAATTAAGCAAGTAGCAAATATTTAAGGAGCATTTGCATGCTCTGAATTTGGATCCAAATTACATTGGAAGACCGGGTTTCTGGGAGGATTAATCATTTGTGGTACTGAGTGAATAAGAATAGAATAATAGCTGTGTCATTAATAGATTTATATATTAACTAGGCATGTTTGTGATTAAAAAGCATTGTCTGAATTTCTTCAGCATTTTAAAAGTGATGTTGTATATTGACAACCTAGAAGTTGAAGTCAGTCATAATTACACGTATTGTACTACTTAATTGATCCTTTTTAGCATATATGGTGCTCTATTTAATAATTATTTAAAAAGGAAAGTCAGCTTCAGAAAACAGATGAGTCTTCTGGCTGGGGTTAAACCATGACAGTGACAAAGGTAAGTATTCTAGCAGGGATGATTTAGCAAATGCCTTCAATTTATTGCTTAAAATTTTATTTTTTAGAGGTGTTAACTCTGACTTGGGTTTTTAAACAGAAACAAACATTTTTATAATCAGAGCATACAAATTGGAGGTTAATCGCTTTCATCTTGAGACTTGTTCTATTTTGCAACTTAAGGAATTGATAATAGAAATGTATATCGTCAATGCTTATGTATAAGCAATGCTCATAGATACTAATAAAGATGGAAAGTAACTTGAACTAGCAGATGTTACTTGTTACATAATACACTAAACATCAGCAACAGTTCTGCCTGTAGTATTTCCTTTATTGTAAAATGCCCGAAATGGTAAGTTAATTGGGTAAAACTAGACATATCTAACTTACAAAATGCATTGTCAATAATGATAACTGATAATTGGCACTGGTCTTAACACAGATGCACTAGATGGTCGAATTAAACACTTTGCATTCCTTTTTCTGTCTTAAAAAAATGTGACTTCCATTTTAGGGTCAAATTATCTCTTTCTGATAACTAGTCTCTTGCAGAAAAATAAACATGTCTGAGCTCAATTGATCTTTTAACCTTAGGATTTCTGGAGATATAATCCTTGTGGCCTCGCTGTCTGAATTCACAAACAAGCTGTAGATTTTTCTGTTGGCATATTTGACAAACTCAGAAGCTCAAAACCTGTACAGTGATTGTACTTCAAAATTCTTGATAATAAACTGAAATAGAGGTTTTGAACACTTACCACTAATGTAGTATGTTTGTGGTATGTTTTTTTTATTTTGTTTTTTTGTTGTTTTGTTTTGTTTTACTTTGTAGACCACTAAAGCATTCCTTCCCAAGATGCTGGAAATGAATCATGGACACATTGTCACAGTTGCAAGTTCCTTGGGCTTGTTCAGTACTGCTGGAGTAGAGGTTTGTTAGCTTATAATTAACAATAAATTTGGCACTTCTTGCTTAGGATAAGCTTTTTTGTATTATCAGCTAGAGAAAATGAAGTCAAATCTTCAAAGATACTTGAAAGCTATGGTGCTGAGTACCTTATCAACACATGGCTAATGGGATCCACAGGACTCAGGCAGCCACCATATTCTACTTTGCAGGTGGATTTGCCACTAGAGTGAAAGCCTAGGATGGCTAATGATCTTGGAATGCTAAATGATAAATGCTAATTACCTGATAAATTTAGGAACCTGAAAGGTGCCCACCTACCTACTCCGGTCAAGATCTTCAGGGCTAAGCTTGAAGGCAAAGGCAAGGATTTTCACAAGTAATGTTTAGTTTCCTGTTTCTGTGAGGAAATGGCTGTCAGCCTTTCTTCCAGAATATATGGCTCACCTGCTTTACTAGGCTCCCACTTCATAAGGATTAGGTTGTCTAGTTGCTAGCAGCTGTTTGAAAACACCAGTTTGAGAGACTTGTTTGGTACATAAAACTAGGTTAGGATTAGAGCCTATTATCTTGCTTTTTGGGTCGTTAGCACAAACGGAAGTGTGAACAAAAAACCTTTAGTTAGTGCAAATGAATTAATGTGTCTAACAGAATAATGGTCATATTATCCTCATGAGCACAGGTTTCTTTGCATATAGGAAAGCCTCAATTCAGGACCTTAAACTGCAGTGTTTCATAACAGAAATGCATAAAGCTGGTGTAACTTAAAGCTTTGTATAGTATTTACTGTCTTGAGAACTACAAATAATTTCCTAGACTGTGGGTGTGACCACCAGCAGAAGTGGACACATCCAGCAGAAAACTCAAATGCTACTGCTGTCTATGAACATTTTTTTTATGTTGCTGAACTTAGTTTTTTGAGATATGAGCTATATGCTCTTCTGAAAACTAAATGATACACTCAGATCTCCATTATATCTTCTGTTGAAACTAACCTTAAAAATAAAGTATTTAAAATTTTTACACCTATGCCCTGCCAACTTTCCAAGCTTTTTCAAATCTGACCCAAGGTAGTATTAGGTATCTCAGTCCTTTGTTGTAATACTTAATATTAAGCTAGCTGGTAACTGGAGTAACTTGCCATGTGAGCCTGCCTGATTCAAAGGCTTGAATCCAAGGTAATATCCTCCTACATTCAGCTTTCGTGCTTTCATGATTCTGTGCTAATTGCTTCAAAAGTAAAATGATAAATGAGTTGATGTGATGCTCTATTCAGTGGGTGTCTTTTGTTGTTGCTTTGAAAATCTGTGCAGAATCGCTTCAGATATGCTTTGGCTTTGAACATGATTCATATCTGTCCTTTTTAAGTTGCCTTTTTTTTTGCTTCATTGCCAACACAGGATTATTGCGCCAGCAAATTTGGAGCTGTAGGTTTCCACGAGTCTTTGAGCCATGAATTGAAGGCTGCTGAAAAGGACGGAATCAAAACAACTTTAGTGTGCCCTTATCTTGTAGATACAGGAATGTTTAGAGGGTGTAGGATCAGGTGAGTAAAATTTTCCTTCTGCTCTGTGTAGTGTCATAAAAGTACGAGAAGGTAACTAAACTGCTACCATAAAAATATTAAAATAAATATTCTATCTGCTTTGTATGTTAGTGTTAGACTCAAAAAAGAGACTTTCTGAATCCATTGAGTGTCTTCTGTCCTTGTGTACTTATGCAGCACAAGTTTTGAACTATAGTCTTTGTAACTGAGCCATGAATATAAAAAAAAATATTGAAGTCTTTGTCCCTGCTGAGGCCTTCCAAAGAGAGTTAATGAACTGTTCACTGAGGTCTTTTACATATATTATTAATCTGTCTTAATCAAATTTTTCAGAAAAGAAATTGAGCCTTTCCTTCCACCCTTGAAACCAGAATACTGTGTGAAGCAGGCTATGAGAGCTATCCTTACAGACCAGCCAATGATCTGCACACCTCGCCTCATGTATATGGTCACCTTCATGAAAAGGTAAGAGCTGAAGTGCCAGTTTGTTGCAATACAGTCTACAGAATAGTAGTAAAATGCATGAGCACGACCACTTTCTGGATATAAACACCTTCCCACTCACACAGGCCCTATGTACTGTTCTCTTAGAACGTATGAGTGTATTCTCTTTCTTGGCTTGCATGAATGTAGGTTGCTTGCCTGGGAAGCTCTGTAAAACTGAGATCTCGTTTTACCATTTTAGTATCTTTCATCCTCCTTAGATACCTGTTTTCTTTTCAACAAACTTTTATTTCTATTGTTTGAGTTCCTCAGGAATGGGGCATGAGGCAGCTTCTATCAAAGGAAGCTCTAGCAGTTTGTCTCTAGAACCAATGTGCTAGGAGGCCCTACCTGCAGATTCTCTAGGACTTGCACAGAAATGATAGATAAAATGAAAATCTACATGTGTATACCAGTTTTCAGAGTCAAAGTTTGGAGGAGGGGCTATTTTGAAGAAATTACCTCCTTTGTTCTAACACACTATAGTTTTTGGATCTGAACTCTGTTTAATCAGTAACCAAGCTGATATTTCAATGATGCAGGGTAATACAGAAGTTGGCTCAATTCCACCAATGCAACATCACTTGCATTCTAGTTTATAGAGAACAGCTTCACAACTGTTTGTGTTTTTGTTTTAAATCTGCAGTGTGTAGGAGGAACCTTTAAAATACAGCATTGACTTATTTTCCTTCTTCAAGGGATGGTTGGAACTGAGACCCTTGTTGATTTTTATTCCATTTGCAAGGCAGTGATTCTTCTCTGCTTCAGGTCTTTCATGGTAGACAGGCTCACAAAAGACTAGAGGAGCCTTCACTGCTCACCTCTTTCCTGGAAGAGAGTATGTATGTGTCTCTTATGCCAACAAATCAAGGACTCTGTCAGCATCTTTAAGAACTGTCTTCTTCAACCAGAAGCTCAGAGGGTGCTTCAGTGCTCTCTGCACAGGCAGTGCCTTATGCAGCTACAGTCACAGCCTTATACAGGCCCTCCAGTTGCTATGGCACAAGTAGTACTACTGGCAGTGAGAACACCTGTACCAGTGGTATCTACTCAGTTTGTCATTGGTCATTACTCCTAATGGCTAGATTCTGTGCACTGCTTTCCACTGAATGATGCCACTCTCCAAGACGCTGAGGAAATCCCATCTTAGTCTTTCACTGGAGCCCCTGAGGACTGCTCTTGAAAGAAAAGTAATATTTTGTGGATGTGGGAAGGAGGAGAGGGTCTGTAGCCAGGTATCCATCACATAGTCACCTCTTGGAATTTTTTCAGGAGAAGGGAAAAAGGAAATTGCTCTCTTTACTTTGGACCTCTCTTTTTGAGGATGAATGTTTGAGTTTAGAATATAAATTAAGGTTGTTAGACATCTGGTGATCAAAAAACAGCGTTAACTAACACTAATCCCACATTAAAGAATATCTTAAATGTCTGATGACCTCTGCTGATGTGTCTTTAAGCAGATACTTTGCTCTTAGTAGGCCTTCTGTGATGTCCTTGCCCCCTCTCACCTCTTTAAAACAAGCTATCATTCTGCTTGTGAAGAAGCATCAGAAAATCTGATTTAAGTAGGAGGCATGTGAATAAGTAGCTTCTTCCTGCTTTCAGCTTGCCTGTGTGGTTAGTTCTGTAGAATTTCAATTTTCTAAGTATCTCTGGAAAAAAAAATAATCCTTTAAGTCTCTTAAGAAGCCTCTCCAATAGCTCTTATGTTGCTTTCAAGATCACGTGCATACTGTAAGCAGAGGTTTTATTTTATGCTGTTTTCTAACAATTTTATAACCTCTTTTTCACAGTATTCTGCCCTTTGAAGCAGTTGTGTGCATGTACCGATTTTTGGGAGCAGACAAGTGCATGTACCCTTTCATTGCTCAAAGGAAACAGGCTACAAACAACAATGAAGCAAAAAATGGAATTTAACACTGTTTTGGATGGACTAACATTTATAGGTGAATACGATGTTATATGACTGAATTGCAAAGTGCACTTGCATCTAATAGATGCAAATGTCAACATCTTACTGTGGCATTCTCTTGGGTCCTAAACCTGTGTATTGAACTCTAAAAATCAATGGTTTTTTTTATATACTGTAAATAAAACTGACTAGAGTACTTGGAAAATGTGATAGGTAAGCAAAGTGAATTTACAATGTAGCTGCCACCATTGTCCTTTAGAATATCACTGTATGTACAGTAAACTAGTCATACTACTTGTAGGGATGCACTGTGTGATATCTCTTTCTCAGCCTGCCAAGGCTTGTAAGAGCTGTCTCCAACTAGAAGATGCAATGTTTCAGAAATTGTCTTTCCCTATGTTATTTCGGAAGGGAGAAGAATGGAAGTCTTGAGATTTAAGCTACTGCTCATGACCTTTTAGCAAATTTAAGGACAGTTTCTGAATGCATCTCTTCACTTGTTCACCCAAGCTCTCTAAAGGACACATGGCCAAATTGTGGTGTAATTCTCTTTTGTAGCAACTGTGTGTGTTCTATTTAAACAAAGATTAAAAATATGTAAATCTCTGCCGATTCAAAGGCAAGTGAATGTCTCAAATACTCTCAGAGCAAACTTGTACTGGGCATCTGGTTTTCTAGGAATGTGGTCAATGATTTAAACTGACTTTTTTTCAAGTTACTTGATTTGAAATATGCTCTGTTCTGTTTCCCCCTATGTGTCAGAGTCCAATCTGCTGTTATGGACTATGATTCTTTTCTTCCTCCTCATTCTTACTTCTGAGAGAGTTCTCTCACCCCCCAAGGAAGCTGTTGTATTAAATTTCTGTAACTGGACTTGTGCCTAAAAGACAAAGCAACTCAGCTGAGATACAAACTGTTTATGTAAGTGCTGGTCATATGCCAATTATTAGCGAAGGAAAAACAGAATAATGCCTGATGCAACTCTACATACAGAATATGGAAGGGTGTAAAGATTTTTTGAGTTGTACTCACATTGTAGAACAGCAAATAACACTTTTACAGTATTTTTTGTAAAGCGAACAATTTTGTGCCTTGAATTTGGTAATCTGTATTAGTGAAGCATTGTAAAAGTGAACTTCTACCTCTGTATCTTAATGTATACCATCCACTTGTAAACTACTATTGGACAAATTGTGATTACTTTTTTAGAATGTCTTGTTAAATAGTGACCAATGCCTGTGGTTATTAAAGTGAGCCACCTTTTCCTTAAAATGGTGATTGGAATGCTTCTTTAAAGACTAAATTAATGCACACTACTTTTGTGCCTGTTCCGTAGCTCTTTAGTATCAACACAGTTCAAATATTTATTGCTCGAATCATATATCCACTTTGTCAGCTACATGGTTTACAGTGTAATCTCTTAAATCTATCAGCAAGTACTGTGAAATTAGGCTTTAGGAGCTCACAGTTTTTTCTCTGGTTTCTAAACTAATCAGTGAAGTAACAGGTCAAAGATCTTTTGAAGAACACTCATTTTGGTTTTCTATGGAGCTTTAGAGCTACATAAAACCAGCCTGGTATGGATGCAGTTTTAGTGAATTAAAAAGTAAGTGTAGTTTCAGTACAGCTGTAGTTATTACTGCATATATATAGCGTACATATAAAAAAAAGGTATCTGTGTGAAGTATTAACTAAACCTGTTAATATACACTAGAAGAAACTGTTTACATCAACCCTTATTCCAAATTCTGTGCGCTTTTGAAAACGTGTCTTAACTTCCCCAGAGCCAAATTACCTCTCATGTTCTTCCAGCAAAGTCACCAAGACCAAGTGCAGCAAATTTCATTCTATTACATAGCATCATAATGCACATTTGGTTTTGTAAGATGTCTCAATCTACATTGCTGTCTCAAATTAACAAGCAACTTTTAAAGTTTGATATATTGATACTCAAGACACTAGCCTGGCAGAAAAGGAAAAATAAGCAGCTGATCAGTAATATCGAGTTTCTATAAAGCATACACCAATTTACAATGGTTACAGACTTCCTTAAAAAGGAAGCTTCAGGACTTGTAGAGTTCTACTTTAATTATTGAATACATTGTCATCCTGGTTTCTCTGAACTTACTACCGCTCCAGAAATACCATGATCCATCTCAGTTCTTGGGGTTGCTCATAACTAGTGCACTCTGTGAGCATGTTTCTAAAACTTGTTCAGATCCTTAACTTTTAATCTCCTACTCAAAAGTTAATTAGATATATATAGAGAAAGGGGATGCCAGATATCACCTGTAGAGCTGGTGAAAATTGCTTAAGTGCTTGTGGGGACAATCTTTGAGGCTCATTTTATCTTATTCTAGTTTGTCAAGTAATATCAGAGTTATTTCATGCAACATCCCTGGACACAGCCATGGCTCCAAACTTAACAAATGGTTAGTGCTTGTCTTGCAGAATGGGAAACTGAGCTTCAATTCAGTTCAAGCCTCCAGAGAAACAAATTCAAAGTTAGTTTTTCCTGATACAGACTAGCTGGTTTAGAAACAATCCTGAAATTTCTGTCACCTCTAGTCATACCTTAAAAAAATGGCACATAAAGAAGCTGGTCACCTGCCTAAGTGTTTTCTGTTGACTTGATGTCTTCCAAGTTGCATGTGTGATTCCTATGAAGCAGGAAGAGAAGACGTGACTGAGGATGGCACAGGAACCAGGTTTTCCCCTCTTTAGATTGCCTTAAAACTGCTGCAAATACTATGTGATGCTGAGAGTTTTCTTTTTCTTTAACACTGTGATAAGAAACTATGAGAATTACTGTGTCTCTTCGGTGTTGTGGCTAACTGGTAGACTGCATTATTTCAGCAAAAGCCAGTGTAGTTTAAGTAGCTCAGGTTTAAAATTAATACTTTAAACTAGTAAGTTGGTGTAGGAATGTTTTCCTTCATTCTGTAGTACAAAGCCACAAAAGTTTACTGTTAAACCCAGATAAGGCAGTATGGGTGCACCTCTTGGTATTTTCCTGTCTTTGTCTTGTTGTAACAACCAGGTGGGATGAGCAGCTGATGAAAGTTTTCTCAGAAAGCTCCTATCTTAATGGTGCTCAGTTTATAGTCATGTAAACAAGGTGATTGAAAATCATTCTATAGAACTGTATTTCCTAGTAAGCAGGACAAATCGCACCCTTGATGCATCTACAGTGGTGCTCTAGTGTTAACAGTCAGTGGAGAGAAATAGGCACCACCTGTTTTACGTATGGGCTTGGGGGGTTTTCAGCCCAAGTTTTAGTTGTGTTCCTATCTGATGATAAGATACTTTCACAATGCAGGGGCTTGCTGCATCCTCACTACAGAAGAGTCTGGATGACTAGTTCAGACATTATAAATTTTGCTTGGACAGAGGAATGGTACCTTAAGAGTTTACATGTGTTCTGTTTAAATAAGAGTTCAGAAGGTGTGAGAACTTCTTCCTCTCAGGAATGAAATTCTTCACATTTGCTGTGTGGTAAGTATATGTGCACAGACAGTTGCTGCAATATAACTGGTATATCAGAAGTTTGTTCACAACCAGGATTATCTTGTGGTAGTTTACTCATGGGCTTACACTGTGACAGTCTGTCTGTGTAGTTCCCAAGTAAATGTCTACACAAACATTTTCTTAGAGCCAGGCTTTTTCCACAGGTGCCCTGTGACGAGACCAGAGGCGATGGGCACACACTGAAACACAGGAGGTTCCCTCTGAACATCAGGAAACACTTTTTCACTGTGAGGATGACCAAGCACTGGCACAAGTTGCCAGGGAGGTTGTGGAGCAACTGGCTCTAGGTGGCCTTGCTTGAGCAGGGGCTTTGGACCAGATGACCTCCAGCAGTCCCTTCCCCACCTCAGCCATTCTGTGACTGTGTGATTCTTTAAGAAAAAAAGGAGTCTGGTTTCTGGTTAGTAGGCATGCTATGAAAGTGAATTAGCATCTCTTAAAATCTTGACTGTGTAGGAAGGAAATGTAGAGCAATCTGAATTCACATCTCCTATACCAACCTCCTATATGGACAGTCCCAACAGGTAGTAGAGCCTGGATTAATCTCATTAACTTTATATAGCTAAATAGGAGCTTGTAAACCTAGACTCTGTGCCATATAACAAAGGTGTCTGGGGGAACAAAATTATCTCTCTAAATTCTAAGCTGTTCTCAGAGAAAGTCTTCCTTCTCTTCCATTCCCTAATCTTTAAAAGGAATCTGGGGTTGCCAGGTTTCTAAACTGAATATATTCATTAAGTAATTGGAGAGCAATAAGACAAGTTTAGGCTTCAAGTATCTCTGCTTTTGGTGTTAATAGTTTCCTCTACCACGTACTTGGTTATTTTATGTATAAATGTAGTTGCAGCTTGAAGCACCTAAGCTAAATGCTGAATATGGTATAAATTGTTCTTTCCCTCACACCCTGTTAGCCCTGTTTGGGTGGTGTATGTAGAGTTGTTAACACACAATAAATGCGTACATCATAATGACCCATGCAGAAGACCTGTACGTGAGGTGAGCTAATCATGAAAAATGCCCTTTTCTTCATAATGGATAAATAATTCAGGAGCAAGCATGTTCTTTACATTTAAACACCATCATAGTCCGTCATAACTTCTGTGCATTGACAAACTCTGATGAGCCTTGTCTTCAGGAGCAACTTGGGAAAACCCAGAGGAATCAAAGCTGTGTAGTGAACACACATAAATTAAAGGATTAAGTTACAGACTACTATGGTTCTGAAAGTGTGCATCTGTGCAAGGGTTGAATTCATATAAAAGCATTAACTTAACCTCTGAATTTGAGTCCTAACTTTTCTCCATGCCTCTGAATAGGCAAGTCCTAAGCATCTGTTCAATGAAACCAGATGATCATAATGCAAATGGTAATCCAGTAGGTATTTAACCTCAGAGTCTGCTTCTGTCCATTAATGTTTTAAACCCAAGTTTTCCAAGTACAGAAGCTTTAGGCCTTGGCTCAGTTTTCTATTGCTGCAAAGTTCATTCCCCACAAACAGGAAATAAAACTGCCTATCACAGAGGTAAGGTCTTCCAACAACCCTCAAAATAGCAGGTTTGGCAAAACTGGTTGACGAGGGCACCTGATTTAAGGCTTACTTTGTCATGAAGCTCCTAACCCTAAATTCCAGGTGTTTAGTCACACAGCTGCCCCTTTCCCTTCAGAAAAAGCTGTGAAGTCTAGGGTCAGTCCCTGACAAAGTTAGAAATGTAGTTACATAAAATCCCCAAACCCGGTATCCTAATTAGCCTGTCATGTTTCAGCCTGGCCATTAAATGCTGATGTATGTAATGACAGAAAGTTTGGCTTTGACATGCCATCAAAGAAATCAAGAAATTAATACTAACTTTATTTAAACATAGTTTAAGTGGACAACACAAATATTTAAAATAACTTTAGAAATAACATTCCAGCTTACATACTTATGATCCGCTGACAATACACAAACAATTCATTTCTTCCACAAAAAACAGCTTTTGAGCTAAATGATGAATGTGCAGAAGTCAGGATCAAGGTTTTGTGTGTGTGTGTGTGTGTGTGTGTGTGCGTAAATTAAATCGGTAGGATGTTTGTTTCCCTCTTTCTAAGCAAGGCAATTGTAGTCCTTAGCCAAGGAGCTGCAATGAATTTTGAAAAAATGAAACGTTTAAACACATCTTTGTCTGTGCAGTGTAACCAAACTGCCTTCAAAATATTATCTTGTTCTGACTGAAATAATTTTGGCAAACAGTGTGCTTGGGACAGTGTCTATGGCACAGGGATAACTGGAGCCTTTTTTTCCTAATCCAATTACCGATAAAAGCTGCTGTGTCAGTGAGACGTAGGAAATAGCTAGAACTGAGCCATTAGAAAATCTAGTAGCTGTATCCAGGGGCAGGTTTTTAGCAGGAGAGTAAGAATGGGGTGCTAAGGTGGCTCTAGGGATCTTCCCTCCATACCCCAAGCTAGCAGCTTGTTGCAGAATGTGTGCATGCACAGCATCCTGCTTGTGTGCTGACATCCAGCCATCCCTTCTCATCACAGCTGCAGGCAGCCATAGTCCTGAGCTCATCTACTAGGGCTCGTCCTCACACATCCCTGCTCAGAAATTATTCTGGAATAACTACACTTAAGCGTGTGCCTGTGTTTGTTTGTGTGTGTGCGTGTGTACCCTTATGTAATAAGCATAAACTGTTTCAGCCTAACTTAAACAAGAACAATGCTCTGGAGTAAGTAGTTCTGTGATCTGGGACTTATGCAGGAC